ATTCTGCAGGATATCAGTTTTTCTTTGAAGAGCAGTTTGAAAAAGAGGGGGATATTTTACATTTTAATATTTCATTTACGGAATCATTTTTGCTCAATACTTTGAGAAATGCTTCATTCTTTAGATGCTTTACAGTTTTTTGAAGCTTGTTAATTTTTCTCAGATGATATTTCATTTTTATCAACATATCTTTATCCTTTTTGTTTTTCGTGGATGGATTTGCAGCAGGTAGTGCTACTTAATGACATGAAAATGTTGACTTATTAGTTTTTAATGCAGTCAATAACAATAACATAACGAAAATAATTTCTACAAATGTAATATTATTGGTGGCATCTATAATATAATCAGGTTATTGGAGTTTAGACATAATATTGCAAAGCTATTGCCTTGTTTGTAGAATGTGAATGTAAATAATGTTTTCTTGTTAGAAAAAAGTGTTTATATTAGATTGTCTAATCTTTTTTATATAAAACCAATGTACTTTTACTTTCCATTTTGCTTAAATGTCATGTTACATATGCCATGTTAAAAATTAGTTAATTACTCCGTCACTTACGTCCATCAATGTACCAACGGTTTTTCTATGTACCAATGTATGTAATGTAAATAAAAAATATGTATTTCAAAAACCACTTTTATTTGAAAAATAGTTCCTTTTTTATATTAAAATGATTGCTAATCGTTTCAAAAGTGGTTTATGAATGTAAAGTACCATAATTTACAAATAACTTTGTGCTTTTGTTTTCGTTTTAATTTAGCAATATATATCATTGAAACGAAAAACTACAAGCTATATCTATCTATATGGTATTTTACATTCTTAAGCCATTTTTGAAACGAAACAACCAAGACGACAACTAAAAAAAAATCACGTGTCAAAATTCCCGCGCAAAAAGTTTTAGGGGGCACGACAGAGATGGCGTGCATTATTGGTGCCATTTTCTTTGTTTGAAGTTGACATTCTTCCCGCCTAAGGGTATTAGTGTTCTGTGACACAGACACAGCAAGTAAGACCAAAGAGAATAGAGTAAGACAATGTCAAATTGTCAAATCAAATATCACATAGAGATGTCTCCTTCCCTCGTACTAGGTAAATTATGTATTCGGTGCACTTAGTCCAATTTGGTACAAATACTCGATCCAAATACCTGTTCCACCTAGTCCATGAAGTACGCATAAAGTTTGGTAGAGTTGGAACAGCTTACAATTTAAATCGTACAGCCGATATGTGAATGTAATGAATAGTAATCACCCATTCATACTTTACATAGGCTTAGGAGCTTAGGACTGTCAACGTCAATATTTATTTACATTCTAGATTGTTGGGGTATAAGTTTTCAATTATTTATTTTCCATAGTAATCCGATTTTTGTCTTAAAATAAAATATTTAAATAAAAGAATATTTATTTCATTCATAAGTACTAGCCTGTCATCTTCATCCAAGGGTTTTAACTTTTCAGATAAAAACTGACCATACAAATCACATTCATTCGATATTTTTTACTGTCTTTATGAGTGGACCTATTTTTAAAACGTACTGCGCACTACCGTCTCGCTCAACAACGTTCGCGCTTCGCGCGACTGAACTTTGTGCAAGTGTGGCAGGCCACGCAAACATTTGAACACCGTTGACTTTGAACGCTTTGATGTGCGCTAATAAACCGAGACCGCTTGGCAAAGTGCATTTCTTTGCACACTTATTTGAACACTGATTCAAAGACCCGTGCCACACATTGAAACTAAGAGACAGTCTGCTGTCTGGGTGTTTCCTTCCGAGGAGTTGCCAACTCTGAAGAGAGGTTGAAGTGTGGGAAAAAAAGATGGTGGCCTCTTTCTTCGCAAGGACAGGTCATTACGCAACAATTGCTTTAGAGGATCAAAAAACAGTTACTGCAGAGTGGTACACTAACAATTGTTTGCCACTTGTCTTGGAAAAAGTTCGGGAGATACGACCTCGCATTAGGATCCTCCTCCACCACGACAACGCCTCGTCGCACACCGCCAAGCAAACAATAGACTACTTGGCGACGTCCGGCCTGGAATGGTGTCACCCGGCCTATAGCCCCGACCTAGCACCTTGCGATTTTTATTTATTTCCGAAAATAAAAGAAAAACTTCGAGGAAAACTGTTTATGGACGTCGAGGAAGCAATGGCTGCGTTTCAAAATGCCGTCGAAGAGACCCCTAAGGACGAGTGGACAAAGTGCTTTCCTCAGTGGTTCCATCGGATGCAGCGATGTATTGATGTAAATGGACACTATTTTGAAAAGATATAATAAAACTAATAACTTGCTAGTTTGTTCAGTCAAATCAAATAGTTTAGCGCTGGACCAACGACTTAGGTCTTACTTCCCAGGCACGGTGTGAAACACGGCCAACTTCCTGATTCCGGGCTGCTACTAGGAATTTCTTGACTTGACTATTTCTTCTTGAAAGGACTATGAAGTAACATCAGTTACTTCATAGTCCTTTCAGAATAATTAGATATTTAAAAATTTAACAAAAAAAAAGTAAATTTATCGTAAAATCTATAGAGACCAATTTCTCCATAAAATTAATCTGATTCTATGACAAAAACAAAAATTTTCGATCCTCTAAATAAGTCTATAGATCTATGGCTATTTTGAAATAGCATTTACGGAATTCTACGGATAGTTATACCAACATGAACATCGGCATGGAACGACTAATAATCGGCCCGTGTGATTTCGGTAGGATATGGCGAAAAATTGTACAGTAACATTCATGACATCATAACACATGTTACGTACACGACTGAAAATCGAATGTTACTCCGGTCACTCACATGCGCGCAAACATTGGTACATTGTATGAATGTTTGCATGGATGTAAGGGCCGTCAGACATTCATTCGCAAACTTAGCGGTTATGCATAATCGATTTGCGAACCCGTTTGCGCTTCCTCCTACACTTGTTTACGAATGTCTCAGTCTTCTATAAAATTTCTCTTCTTTTTTAATTCGTCAATGGAACATTGAAGAGAAAATAAATTATTAATTATTAACCAGGCGTAATTAAAGGCCTTTCTGTTTTTATGGGATTTCTTTTGAGTATCCCATGTAGTCGATTCATTCTGCAGGAGTTCAATCAACTCCATCACCTTGGTGTTGTTCCAATCCTTGACGAAATTAGTTTAAGTACGCTACACAGTAGAGGTCACGAACTATGAAAATGGTGAAACGTCCGTCACCTTCGCAATCGTGTGCGCAACTGGTCGCACGAATGTGTGGGAGACAGGCTCCTCAATCTTAGAACAAAACTTGGAACTTTAAACTTGGAAACCTGTGAAATGTTCATATGCAAAGTTCAGTCTCTATTTCGGTTTATACAAAGGTACTCTGTGGTGGAAGAGTACACAAAGGATTGAGGTTCGTGCACTTTGATCTCCGTTAAAAAACCGACACAGCTTGGAAAACCGCGAATGCGACACATTCGACGACACTCCATTTGCAAATGTCGTCCTACACTTGTGGGTTTGCGTATTCGTGCGAATGTGAGTGACCGGCTTTAGATACATACATGACCAATATAAGGCTTAGGTTATAACTTATAGCATAAGAACATAGAATTAGAACAGATCAAATATCTTATCTTTTTCTAATCTCGAGATAAGAAAGGTTCAGCACTACTTCTGTATTTATAATTCAAAATTAGCTAACTTTACAAAGCAGAAATTAAGTAGATGAATTTGGCAAAAAAAATTAAACGAAAGAATCGCGATCTTTACGATCTAGTTTTCTTGTTGCAATAAATTTTACTGTTGGTTCATTTATAGTTTCATATACACTCGAAAAACATTACCCTCCTTCAGTGCTTTTTTACTATTACTACTCGTCGGTAGCCTCGTAACAATCGGTGATGACTGTAACGTAACACCTTTTGTATCACATTGTTATATTCATGGCAAAAAAACTAGACTTGCAACGAATATTCGGCTATTTTTCGGCATTCTACCGAATATCGATTACTATAATAAGTTTTGTTGTAGTCAGATAATTGGTAAAATGGAAATATTGATTTATTTTATAATAATGTATTTTTCTTATAATCAAAGTAGTCCATATGTACATAATCAACTTCCGTATTGAAGTTGATTATGTACATACAACACTTGAATTATCGTAATTAAAATTTAGAAGTGGAAGATTATAGTGCAGAAAGACAAATTTTTCTACATTTTCAGGCAGTAATTCACTATTTTTCTTCTGGTAGATATTTCCAGCTGCAAGGAAAAGACGATCTGTATTAAAAATACTACTTCTTCCTGGCCGAATACTTTTGCCTAATATTCGGCTATTCAGACAGGAAACCCGCAGAATATTCGGTACTCGGCGTGCGCCGAATATACTATTCGTTGCATGTGAACAAAAACACGTGGGACATTACCTAAAATTAAAATTATTACTTTATTGCAGACTAGCTGATACCCGCGACTTCGTCCGCGTTGCTTGATATATTAACAAAGTTTTCGTATGTGCGAAGGAAAAAAACATCAAAAAGATCGCAAGCAAAAAATATACTTTAGCTTTTTTTTTTCTTTAAAAACAATGTTATTCATTATTTGGGTTAGTAACGCGAGAGCAAGCGACATACAACTGACCGTGTTAAAATCCCCGTATAAAAATCGTTGCTTCTTAAAACTTTAATAACTTTATATTAAAGGAAGATATCGCAATATTTTTTTAGATAAGGGCCAAGTGTCTAAGAAATAAAACTTAGAAAATCTATCCCGTAGTTTTTCCGTGATGCGCGCACAACTGCAAACCTCTATTGATGTATTAGGAATAACATAATGGAAACAAGAAAAAGAAACAAATGTACAATTTTTCGCGGTTTTACCCAAATAGCAAATAAATTTTATAAAGACATAGATTCTTGTTTAATTGGATTAAAATAACGTTAAATGAATATTTCTAACTGTATTTAATTAATAATAATACATACATTAATAATAATACAATACATTAATCATTTTATTATCCAAGTTGCGGCTTTGGTGTGCTAATTGGACGTTTCTTAAACATCTTTTTACGAGAAAGTCTTAGTTGATTCAGCTGGTTATGAACTTCACCCCAAATCTCACTTTGATCTTCAACAGGAATAGTTTTTCTGAAAGTGCAAAAGAACTTTAGTCGTATTAGTATTATATAGCTGCTAGGTACTCCATTCATTAATACATTCTTCACAAACACAGGGGCATTTCTCATTTTACTATATAACATAAACATTGGCACGACTTGCGGGTATACATTCAATAAAAAAAAAACTATGGTTCGTTCAAACAATTTCTCGAATCATCATCATCATCATTACAGCCCTTCACAAGTCCACTGCTGAACATAGGCCTCCCCCAAGGAATGCCACAAAGCACGGTCCTGAGCCACCTGCATCCATCGACTTCCTGCATATCTTACCAGGTCGTCACTCCATCTAGTGGGGGGACGCCCTACACTTCGTCCGCCGGTACGAGGCCGCCACTCGAGAACCTTTCTTCCCCAACGGTTGTCGGTTCCTCGAGCTATATGGCCGGCCCATTGCCACTTCAGCTTACTAATCCGTTGGGCTATGTCGGTCACTCTGGTTCTACTGCGGATATCCTCATTTCTAAGTTTATCACGCAGAGAAACTCCGAGCATAGCCCTCTCCATAGTTCGCTGAGCGACCTTGAGCTTCCTCATACGGCCAGCAGTGAAGGACAACGTCTCAGTACCATAGGTCATCACTGGCAACACGCACTGGTTGTACAGTCTTGTTTCAAGTTTGATACCTGACGAGAAGATGTGACGTAATTTCCCGAACGCTGCCCAACCAAGTTGAATCCGTCGATTGACCTCTCGGTCGAAGTTGGACTTACCTAGTCGGACTATTTGTCCCAGGTAAACATACTCGTCAACAACTTCGAGCTTAGTGCTCCCAACAACTACCGGCATAGGTGTGACATGGACGTTAAACATGATCTTTGTTTTGTCCATGTTCATCTTAAGACCTATCCGTTAGGAAACACTATTGAGGTCATTGAGCCTAAGCACTATGCTTAAGTCCTCCAGCGATTCTGCCATAAGGATTATATTTTCGGCAAATCGAAGATGAGTGATGTACTCGCCATTGATATTAATACCGTATCCTTTCCAGTCCAGAAGCTTGAAAACGTCTTCCAATGCAGCGGTGAAGAGTTTCGGGGATATCACGTCACCCTGTCTTACACCTCTCTACAATTGGATAGGTTTCGTACTCTGGTTCTGTACTCGGATAGCCATCGTAGCCCTACTGTACAAGCACTTCAGCACTTTGATATACCGACAGTCAACTTGGCACCGCTGAAGGGACTGCAGCACCGCCCAAATTTCGACGGAATCAAAGGCTTTCTCATAGTCCACATACGACAGACATAGTGGCAAATTGTACTCCTCGGACTTCTGTACAATTTGCCGAAGGGTATGTATGTGGTCTATGGTGCTAAAGCCTTTTCGGAAACCGGATTGTTCGGGGGGCTGGAAGTCGTCAAGTCTGCGCGCGAGACGATTCGTAATGACTCTCGAAAACAGCACGCAGACGCGGCTCAGAAGGGATATTGGTCTGTAGTTCTTCAAGAGCGCGTTGTCACCTTTCTTGAAGAATAAGACCACCGCACTTCTGCTCCACGCCTCCGGTGTAATGCCACCATGGAGGACTGAATTAAAGTGCTTCTGAAGGACTTCAAGTACCGGTTTTCCACCCGCTTTCAAAAGCTCCGTTGTAATTCCATCCTCGACTGGGGCCTTGCCGTTTTTAAAGTGCTGGAGAGCCATTCTAATCTCGCTCAGACTGACGCCTGGGATATCATCGGAATAGTGTCGGATAAGACTCGCTCTTGGATCGTTACTCACACTTACGTGTGGCTCCATCGATGATGTGTACAGCTGCCCATAGAACCTCTCAATCTCACTCAAAATCTCAGGTGTCCCGGAAACGACGCTGCCACACTCGGTCTTCAGCTTCGACGGTTGGCCCTTTCTGGCAGACAGATCTCTAGCAAAGACTTTGGAGCCCTGGTTCCGCTCGATCACTTCTTTAATACGAGCAGTATTAAAGTTGCGTAAGTCCCGCCGCATGCATTTGGAGATCTGTCTGTTCAGTTGCCTGTATGCTGTCAAATCTACTGAAGACTGCAGCTTCATATCCCGTCTAACAGCCATGAGATTAAGAGTGTGATCGGAGAGTTTTTGTGTTCTTCTGCGGCGGGACTTGCAAAACTTAGCTCCGACCGCATGGACAGTTTCCACGAGCTTGTCATTCATATCGTCCACTGCATTGCAATCTTCTAGGCACTGAAAACGGTTTTGTAGCTCGAGCTGAAAGGTTTCGGGACTTGGGATTAGAGCACGAGGGGGACGGAGCGTTGACTTCATTAGACGTGACCTCTCCAACTTAACGTTTAGGTTCAGTGTGCCTTTCACCATTCGGTGATCGCTGCCGATTTTCACCCTCGCGATCACTGAAACATCACTGAACAGTTGTCGTCTGGTCGTCATAATGAAGTCAATCTCATTTTTTGTCGAATCGTGGGGGTCGACCAGGTCCACTTCCTGTGGGGCCGCTTCTGGAAGAAAGAGTTCATCATAAAGAGTCCCTCTTTCTCCATGAAGTCAGCCAGCTGCTGGCCCCTTGGGTTCCGTTGCCCTATTCCGAAATTCCCTACTTTCAGCTCACCGTTTTCTCTTGTGCCTAGTTTCGCGTTGAAGTCTCCCATTAACACCGTATAGTGGATTTTGGAGGAATGCATGGCTCTAGAGATATCCTCATACATTTCCTCCACCTCCTCATCGGGGTGTGCCGAGGTTGGTGCGTAAACCTGTACGACTTTCAGCGAAAACCGTTTGGTGATTCTGAGTATAAGGTACGCAACCCTCGTCGACACACTCCCAATCTTTACAATGTTGTTAACGAGAGACTTGTGGACGATAAATCCGACACCTCCTTGGGACAGATGGTCGCCCTCCCGGTGATAGAACAAATTGCTGGATTCATGGATTACCATGTCCTCCCCCTCTCTTTGGACTTCGGATAATCCTATGACATTCCAGCGCAACTTGTCTATCTCTTCTTCTAGCTCCAGGATCTTCTCGTCAGTCCTCAGGGTGCGTGCGTTATAAGTTGCCAGGTCGAGTCGTCATAGGTGGCAACCGAACCTCCACCGGAGATTCTTAGCACCCCCTGCCTCGCCGTTACCATGGTCGCCACCGTAGCCAGGAATAGCGGGGCCGCCGGGGACTGGGGACCGTCTCTTCGTTACTTTCATGGGGGGTATATTGCCATAGTTGCCACGCTTGGCGAGCGGGTTGGGAACTGCAGTTTTTTTATTGTTGTTTTATTGTTATCAGAAAGATGCTGCTGCCCATCCTCTGCCTCAGTTTCCCTCTGTCGCCTTTTACGACACCCACGGGAAGATATGGGGTAGTGAGTATTCTTACCCGCCACTACACGGGGAATATAAGCATTATAAATTATACAATCCGTACGGATAAAGAATGGGATTAGAAATGGCGGCTCCTTGAGCTCGTACCGTCAACATGCACAGTACCAATGGCGAAAACCCGCTAATAGCGGTATATCGTTATAACGTTATATTATTCGGTTAATTGGAAATTTTCTTTTAATGGGGAAATATTTGAAATTAATTGTAAATGCAAGTTAGTACATTAATTTTAAAATAACATTTATAAGTAGCGACCTGCTCTGGCTTAGCCCTGGTGGGATCTATTCATATGTATTAAGAACTTAAGATAATAATTAAAGACTATTTATTTTATTATCTTATCAAAATTTTTATTTTAATCTCTAAACTTTTCGGATAAAATTTAGTCTAGACTAGATCATTCCCAGTATTAATCTCAATTTGTTCGTAAGCAGACAGACAAAAGAAAATTATGAAAATGGTTACTGATTTCTCTATGGCATGTAAATTTTTATACAAAAACTAGCTGTTCCCCGCGACTTCGCTCGCGTGTTAGGGTTTTTATGTTTTTGCGCGGAACCCTAATCATTTTTCTAAAATAAATGTAGCCTAAGTTACTCCTTATGAAATCAGCTACCTGCCAGTGAAAGTCCCGTCAAAATCGGTCCAGCCGTTTCGGAGATTAGCCGGAACAAACAGACAGACAGACGAAAATTTAAAAAATTGTATTTTAGTTAATAATAAGTACCGTATTTGCTTTCATATGCATTTAGTAAAAAACTGTAATTTTGACACTACAAACAGGCACATAAATTTTATTTATTTGTATAAATATTAACAAACAAAACCTACAATAATTATTAAGAAAACTCACAGAACGCGTCTATCTCACAAATTAGCAATTAGATAGCGACAGTGTCCGAGCGAATGGTGAATAGAGGCGATGCCATTTTCAATCCCATTCTTTAACTGCACGGGTAGTACACATCATATTATTGCCAATTTTCAGATATTTATAAATACATTTTTATATAGTTCAATACCAATTATTATAATTTTATTGATAAATATTCTGGTTAATGAGTAAGTAAATAATTATTCATAATATAAGTCATAATAATAAATCTATACAAATAAATAAAATTGAAGTGTCTGTTTGTAATGTCAAAATTATAGCTTTATACTAAATGCATATAAGAGTATTTACGGTACTAATAACAAAAATACAATTTCTAAAGTTTTTGTCTGTCTGTCCGTCTGTCTGTCTGTTTGTTCCGGCTAATTTCTGAAACGGCTGAACCGATTTTGACGGGATTTTCGCTGGCAGATAGCTGATGTCACAAGGAGTAACTTAGGCTATTTTTATTTTAGTTAAAGATTTAGGGTTCCACGCAAAAAAATTAAAACCCCAAATAACACGCGGGCGAAGTCGCGGGGAACACCTAGTAAATAATATAATTGAATGAAACTACTTTTAAGAATTCTATCGTGTTTAATTGAGTTATTTTTATAAAATTCCAGACGTTGGAGCAAATAATTCTTTAGCTTTCCTAAATGTTTAGTCATCCGAAATCCTAACAATGCCATAGATCACACTGTGTATAGAAAAAAGACCCACACAAACCGATATTTAAACGCTGTATCTCACCATCATCCTTCACAGTTAGCTACCATGGGCAAATCTTTATTATAGAGAGCACAAGGGATCTGTGACAGCAAACACGTGGCCACCGAGTTCCAGTACATCCAGCAGGTTCTGCACGACAACAAGCTTCGGTCCCGCGCCTACGTCACAGTGACCGAGTAAAGGCGGCCGCGGTCGAGCGTGTGCCTGCTGTACTACCATAAGTGAGAGGTGTCACAGACAAGATTGGCTATATCTTGAAGCGAGCTTCTATTAGAACATTCTTCAAGCCGCAGAAGAAGATTAGTCAGTTCTTACCATCCGTCAAATGCCATATTCCTCTACAAGATGCAGGAGTGTACAAGCTTGATTATGAATGTGGTCTCATATATAGGGCAAATAAAACAAATTCATCAAAACCCGAGTAAAAGAACACATAGCTGACGTGAATCACCAACGTTCCGGGAAGTCTGCAGTTTGTGATTATATCCTAGACGGCCCCCACCATTACATTAGATTTGATAAACCACAAATTCTCACGAAAGAATATCGATTCCTGCCAAGGATTATACGCGAGGCTATTGAAATTAATAACATCCTAATTTCAATAGAGAGGGAGGCTGGGTACTACCACCTGCTTGGGATCTTGTAATTAATAAAATTAAAACTAAACCCAAGCATACCACTGCAAGACTTCAAGACACAGTAAGTTCATTCTGCGTAGATTGGACCAAAACAAATAATTAAAAAACTGAAGGTACTCCGGTTTAACTCTGATATCGGGACGTCAATCACCTCAGTCCCCCGTGACCATGGGTGCTGTAAAGCACCGGAAACGTCGGAAATTTAATAAAAATAACTTAATTAAACGCGATAGAATCCGTAAAAGTAGTTTTATTCAATGTGTAGTGTTCGCGTAAATATAAGAAATCATTAAATAATATAAATAATAGGTTGGGGAAAAATTTCTTCGTATTTTATATACTTTTTTTTCAGTTTAATTGCATTATTTTTTCAGTTTTTCGTACGTTCTATAATTATAATGTATGCAATCTTGTAGGCAGTGACATAAGTTGCTGTAGAAATCTTGAGATTTTTGATCAAAAAAATGCGACAAGTAGGTTTGACAGCCTTCTCTTGATGTTAACCTAACACTACCCAAAGAATTCTGAAGACGCAAGGGTGAGATGAGGGTGCAAGGTCAGGATTATATGGTTTTACCATGATATTTTTTACACGTTCTTATCGTAAATGATCCGCTTTACATCACCAGACTATGTGGACTGTGTGCTTGTTTGTCACTCTAATTCTATAATAAAAAAACATTTTGAATGCCCTGTAGTCCCACCTCCCACTTTAAATATTAGATGAAAGTGATTTCATTAGAGAAAATTATATTGTAACATATAAGGATAAATATAGGATAAGGACTATACATATACTTGTAACTGTAATATATATATATATATATATGACAAGCTCGTGGAAACTGTCCATGCGGTCGGAGCTAAGTTCTGCAAGAGCCGCCGCAGAAGAACACAAAAACTCTCCGATCACACTCTTAATCTCATGGCTGTTAGACGGGAGATGAAGCTACATTCTTCAACAGACTTGACAGCATACAGGCATCTGAACAGACAGATCTCCAAATGCATGCGGCGGGACTTACGCAACTTCAATACAGCTCGTATTGAAGAAGCGATCGAGCGGAACCAAGGCTCCAAAATCTTTGCCAGAGATCTGTCTGCCAGAAAGAGCCACCTGTCAAAGCTGAAGACAGAATGTGGCAGCATCGTTTCCGGGACACCTGAGATTTTGAGTGAGATTGAGAGGTTCTATGGGCAGCTGTACACGTCATCGTTGGAGCCACACGCAAGTGTGAGTAACGATCCAAGAGCGAGTCTCATCCGACACTATTCCGAAGATATCCCGGACGTCAGTCTGAGCGAGATTAGAATGGCTCTCCAGCACCTTAAAAACGGTAAGGCCCCAGGCGAGGATGGAATTACAGCGGAGCTTCTGAAAGCGGGTGGAAGACCGGTACTTGAAGTCCTTCAGAGGCTGACGAGTGCTGAAAGGTGACAACGCTCTCTTGAAGAACTACAGACCGATTTCCCTTCTGAGCCGCGTCTACGTGCTGTTTTCGAGAGTCATTACGAATCGTCTCGCGCGCAGACTTGACGACTTCCAGCCTCCCGAACAAGCCGGTTTCCGAAAGGGCTTTAGCACCATAGACCACATACATACCCTTCGGCAAATTGTACAGAAGTCTGAAGAGTACAATTTGCCACTATGTCTGGCGTATGTGGACTATGAGAAAGCCTTTGATTCCGTCGAAATTTGGGCGGTGCTGCAGTCCCTTCAGCGGTGCCAAGTTGACTGTCGGTATATCGAAGTGTTGAAGTGCTTGTACAGTAGGGCTACGATGGCTATCCGAGTACAGAACCAGAGTACGAAACCTATCCAATTGCAGAGAGGTGTAAGACAGGGTGACGTCATATCCCCGAAACTCTTCACCGCTGCATTGGAAGACGTTTTCAAGCTTCTGGACTGGAAAGGATACGGTATCAACATCAATGGCGAGTACATCACTCACCTTCGATTTGCCGACGATATAGTCCTTATGGCAGAATCGCTGGAGGACCTAAGCACTATGCTCAATGACCTCGATAGTGTTTCCCAACGGATAGGTCTTAAGATGAACATGGACAAAACAAAGATCATGTTCAATGTCCATGTCACACCTATGCCGGTAGTTGTTGGGAGCACTAAGCTCGAAGTTGTTGACGATTATGTTTACCTGGGACAAATAGTCCGACTAGGTAAGTCCAACTTCGACCGAGAGGTCAATCGACGGATTCATCTCGGCTGGGCAGCGTTCGGGAAGCTACGACACATCTTCTCGTCAGACATACCTCAAAACCTGAAAACGAAATTGTACAACCAGTGCGTGTTGCCAGTGATGACTTATGGAACTGAGACGTGGTCCTTCACTGCTGGCCGTATGAGGAAGCTCAAGGTCGCTCAGCGAGCTATGGAGAGGGCTATGCTCGGAGTTTCTCTGCGTGATAAACTTAGGAATGAGGATATCCGCAGTAGAACCAGAGTAACCGACATAGCCCAACGGATTAGTAAGCTGAAGTGGCAGTGGGCCGGCCATATAGCTCGAAGAACCGACAACCGATGGGGAAGAAAGGTTCTCGAGTGGCAGCCTCGTACCGGTAGGCGAAGTGTAGGGCGTCCCCCCACGAGATGGAGTGACGACCTGGTAAGACATGCAGGAAGTCGATGGATGCAGGTGGCTCAGGACCGTACTTTGTGGCATTCTTTGGGGGAGGCCTATGTTCAGCAGTGGACTTGTGAAGGGCTGTAATGATGATGATAATGATGATATATATATATATATATATATATATATATATATATATATATATATATATATATATATATATATATGTATGTCAAAATACCTGTATTCTTTCATTAAGTCGTATTTCTCCCATGGTGTCTTTCTCAACTCTCTTCTAATTCTATCTTTTTCTTTTAAGTGTTCTTCAATGTTAGAGACTCCTTTGAGTTCTTGCCTCTCCCATCTTTCAAGCCAAGGCCTAGGTTTGAGTTTTACCTTAAAAATAAAAAACTATTTTTGTAGAATGGATTTTTTTTATAGGATAATGGTGACAAACGAGCACACAGTCCACCTGATATTAAGTGGTTGCTGCGGCCCATAGACATCTACATCTATCCTCGTTTGCAAATGAAAATGCAGATGCGTTGTCACCCGTGAGGACTAAGATGGAATGCCTCTTTTCCAGTAAAAAGGGTCTCCAGTTCTCTACACTCACCATACAAAACACAGCAGTGTTAAGCTGCTATTTGACGCTGGTATTCTGTGAGAGCGTGGTCCTTCCCCGGTCGAGCCGACCCATTCATGCTAAAACTATACAACTAATATAGCTCCAGCATGGCTCTACCACATGGAAAATAATATGTAATAAATAATAATAATATGTTTTTATTATTTTGGTCTTCTACTTCACTATCAATTAAAATTTGTCTTTTGATTTGCTAAATAATATATACAAGATAAACCATCATTTAATATTGAGTTTATAATTTTTTAGTGTTCCATGAAAAAATTTGAAAAAAAGTAACAAATATGTATAATTAATATCTGCGACAGTCATTTTCCCAAATACCATTTAATGTAATTTTTTTATATTTTTTTTTAAATATTGGTTTTGTGTGATAATTTCAAAGCATAATTCATGATGTGGATACAAGTGGTAACATCCTTATTTGTATTACATGAAATCAATGTTATAAAAATTACCTGTACTGGATTAACAGGAACTGGTGTGCCTTCTGGAAGAATCTCTGGATCCATATCAAATGGAAATGTACTATACTCTGGTAGAGCATCCCGCAAGTAGAGGAGTTTATCATCAAGCCTCTTTTCAAGTCGAAGAACTTGTATCGACTGTATGGTAGGGTCATAGAGATCATATCGTATCTAAACAAAATTTTTGATTACTTACTGGTTATCATATAAAATTTTTTGGTTTAAGATTTTAGGCTTTTATAAACAAATTTGTAATTCTTATTTATAATCAACATTATTCTACAGTTAGACATCAATAGCTTGGTGGCAGCATACCTGCCTTACAGAAAGAGATCCTGAGTTTAAACCCTATTAAAAGCACTATTTGTTAAATTGTTTCATTAGGCATTTGAAATTTCCTTCAGATATTTGCAAGCATATTTTATACTATCTATATGTATATTCACAAAAGTGTCTTCTCAGCTAGCTAATTGCCAGCAGAAAAACATATCCCAATACAACCTAACATTGTCTATTAATGAAATGAAAAAAACAGTGGGCACTCAAATCTGGATGTTATAGCATCCAGATTTGAGTGCCCACTGTTTTCTCCATACTGAACTCAAATGCTTTCACCACTGAACTGAGTAATTATGGAAATGGATAATAATACACACATCTTAAGTCATTTAACATAAATCTAAGTTCCACTACATTTGTTTTCAAATTAACGTGAACAACAATCACAGATCATGACATATAACAGATCCTGAAGCAAAAAATTTAACGAATTGCAAGACTGACAATATAAATCAAATCATAAAAACATAAGATATAAGAGCTAATCATAATAGAAAAATATATATAATTTAATACCTCTACTCCCTGATGATCCACTACGTTCCTAAGTGTAAATTCAGCCCTTAGACCACAACCTTTTCTTTCAATGCATATGCCCACAAATCTGTTAGTTTTACCTTGTGCATGTGGATCTGATATTGTGACAGCCAAAACTGATCCTGGAAATAGTATCATTGCTATGCTTTATTGCGAGCTAATAATCGTCCGCTCACCAGATGTTGTTCGTAGAATTTAATTGATAGTGTTATGTAATTGATTAAAACATACAAACATTTACATAAATAATATTATAAGATTAAGATTTAAATAATGAACTAAATAAACATATCAGAGTTTAAGTGTGACGTAGCAACTTTTATAAGTGCCATAAAGTTGGCACTTATAAAAGTTGTATATGATATTAGTATTATACACTTTGCTAATCTACAATAAATGAGCTCTGGCAACCAAACGAAGTTATATCCATATCAAAATGCCAAATCCTAATTCAACAGACTGGTGACACGAAGCAGCATCATCAGTATGAAAGTATTAGATCTGTATTCATCAACTGGCCTGACCAGTTTTGACAGATATTATTATAATAAGTCAGTTTTTGCTATAATAAGTCATTACTATTGTAGGTCAGTTTTCTACATATAATACATATAATCACGCCTCTTTCCCGTAGGGGTAGGCAGAAACCACTTCTTTCCACTTGCTACGATCCTTACATACTTGTTTCGCTTCGTCCACTTTCATTATTCCCTTCATACATGCTCTTTGGTTTAGGGTACTCTTGACTTGGCCTTTTTTCAAGACATCCCTGATTTCCGTCTAGGTCTACCTCTTCCAACACTTTCATTCACACTTGCCTTATACACTTTTTTTGTCAATCGTTCTTCATTCATTCTTTCATTCTCTCGACATGGTTTGGCCATTTGGAATGAAAGAAGAACGACTGACCAAACCATCTCAGCATACCTTTCTCAATTTTTGTCACCACGTTTCCTTATCTCACTATTTCTTATCCTGTCACTCAGTTTAACTTCTATCATACTTCTTAACGCTCTCATCTCAACTGCATTTATTCTGCTTTCATGTTTCTTCTGCCATACCCAACTTTCACTTCCGTACATAAATGTCGGAACCAACACCCCCTCATGCACAGCCAAACGAGCCTTGTTAGACACCTTCCGACTGCTCACAAAGGAGTGCAAAGCTCCATTCACCATGTTTCCTGCATTCACTCTTCTTTCGATATCACTCTCACACTTTCCATCTCTCTTAAACTTTGAACCCACATACACAAACTCCATCACTTTCATCTTCTTTACATTCATCTTCATTCCCTTTCTAACAAAAGCTCCACTCATAGCAGTTAAGATCTCCTGCAACTCCTCGGCCGAAGACGCAAGTAGTACTTAGTCATCAGCATAGAGAAAACATTTGATGAGTAACACATTCATTCTCAACCCACTTTCATTATCTTTTAAATCTGTCAAGCAGTTGTCCATGAACAGATTAAACAACCACAGTTATGCTACACATCCCTGTCTAACACCTTTTTCGATATTAAACCATTCAGTGTATGTCCCGTTTATCCTTACACAAGCACTAGAATCCCTATAAAGAGATTGCAATGCTCGTAAGAGGATACTGCTCACACCGTTTACGGGCAGTGCTGACAACAATTCATTTCTCACCACTCTATCATAGGACTTTTCTAGATCCACAAACGCACAATAGACCTTCTTGTTTTAAGCCAAACACTTTTCGGCTATGCACCGCAAGGAAAAGACCTGGTCCGTATATCCCATTCCCTTTCTAAATCCCGTTTGTGCATCCCAAACTTTTTCGTCTGTTTTATTCACAACCCTTTCAATCAACACTTTCGCATACAATTTACCAACGATGCTGAGAAGGCTTATACCGCGGTAATTTATGCAGTCCTGCCGTGACCCTTTTCCCTTATACAATGGCACAATTACGGCTTTGCACCAGTCTCCCGGTACTTGCCCATTTCACCAGCACAAATTGAAAAGGCGGTACAGCTGACTAGCCACTATACCCTGTCCAGCCCTCAGCATCTCTACAATCCTGTCATACCCTGCAGCCTTACCTAATCTCATACTTTTCAACGCTTTCACTATTTAATCCATGCCTATCTCACTTTCATCAACATTTTTATTAGTTTCCATGGAAGGTGCCTGATGCTGTACCTGCCCTTGCTCTCTTTCAAACAAACTTTCAAAATACTTTTTCCATCTCTTTAACACACATTCTTCTCCTTTTATAATGCTCCCATCTTGACTCCTTATTGTACTCAGCTCTGAGGTAGAAGTTTTTTCTCTGGCTGTTTTGAAGGATTTCCAGAAAAACTTAATGTTTGACTGGAAATCTTCAGTGAGCCTCCTATCAAAATCATCCTTTTGTTCTTCTTTCTTTCTAGACACAACTTTTTTCGTTGCTGTACTACCAGTACTACTAATCTACTTAAGTGCTATTTTCAATCTTTTATACTTCGTTCTTGCTTTCTTTATCTCTTCATCCTTTACCTTTTGAACTTTTTGGTTAGCTTTTGTTGCTGACCAATCCAACCACGCTTTCTTCTTTTCTTGCACAACCCTTTGTACATCTTTATCCATCCACACATTATAGTTCTTTCTTCCTTTCCTTCTTTTAGCTACCCCACATACCCCAATAGCAACATTCACGACCCCTTTCTTAAATGTCCCCCACAAATCTTCAATCACACCTATCTTTTCTATATCCTTTAAAACTTTCTTTCAGAGGAGATGGTACTCAATTCAACTGTATGTTTTTTCATATATGTGTTACCTCATAACTTGTTACTGGGTGAACCAATTTCGATGATTCTTTTTTTATTTCAAAGCTGGTGCTTCACATGTGGTCCAAAATAAATTTGATTAAGTTCTGATCAATAGTTATTGAGTTATTCTTAATAATTTATATTGAAGTTGGATGTACAAAATTTTTAATTATTGTCATACAGTTTATATACCTATATTACAAGTAGGGTATTGTCATAGAATAAAGTTAAAAAAATTGATATGCTGAAATTGTTAATAAAGTTATTCAAATAATATTATCTAGGGCTATACATATGTTATAAAATTGATTATATTGCTAAGAAACCCTTGAAAAGGTATAGGCAAAAATAAAAAATATAAAAAAGTTTTATCACAACACATACCAACATAAAATTCTGGAATATCAATCTGACTTCTCCTTTTTAGCATATCAGCTCTTTCCATTTTTTCACGTAAACTATTTCGCCATTTAGGATTTGGATCTGGTAAAAATTCTGGAAAAATGTGTCGATATTCTAAAGCTGGATTTTGGAATCGTGGTCGTCGACCTACAGGTCGTTTTTCAGCTTCTTCCGCTTTTTCAACCAAAGAAGATAGAGCTCGACAATCTATAAAAGATCAATGAAATTTATAAAGAAATTATATTAAAAAATATAATAAAAAAATAAATAATAAAGAAATAAATAACCTTTCCTAATCATCCACTTCGCAGCTGACAAAATATCAATTGCAGGTTTTCTTATAACTAATGCCATTCTAGTTATAGTGACTGAATGTTTTAAAAAACAGCGTTATCTCAAAAGAAAATGAAGATCTTAAATCATTAATATTTTTCAATAATATACAAAAATAACCATCCAACCAGACCAAAGCATGATTTTGAAAAACAATGACAGTGACACTGACACTGACAGACTGACACTGACAAAAGACCACAAACTAATTAGATTTTTTTTATAACTGACTTTCCGGCTCTGGGTTTTAGCCCTTGTAAGCCTGAAGTTACAATGTATGATTATCCTTCATAGTACACTGCTTTACAATATGTTGCTGCGTCACATTGTGCAGCCCTTGGGAGATTTTGACGATAACTTGAGCCAGCAGACACCTGACAGTTGGCGATGGTATCTCAAGGCGCCTAAGCAGACAGACCCCTTATCTTGAGAATCACATCACCACCAGAGCACTTGTTTCACCGTTTACACTAATAGCTCACATGTGCAGACACTTAATACACAAAATCGCACCACTTTTACATATCAAAATCCACATTAACCCATTATTTAAACAATAATATAGCAGCAGCAAATCGATGCCGGTCAAGTTCTCGCCAAAACTCAATAAAACTAACTAGAAACACACATTATAATGTATAGACAGTTATAGAAACGTCTATTTACTTTATAACGTATAGATAGTTATACATAACGCTCATATAACTGTCTATTTCTTATAACGATCCGCAACGCACAGAGTACCTTTGAACCGCAACCCTGCAATGTTGCGTTGGCTTGGAATCGTGATTCGTGATATTAATATTATAACATCACGCATTCGCTGCCGTACAAAGCAAAAGTTATACCGTGTAAGATAAGAACGAAACTGCAGCGGGGCCCATGTTGAAACGTGTAGGTAAGCAAATTCGAAAAATAAGTTTATTTCTCTCTTTTTCATATAGATACTTGTATAACAATTTCAAATTGGTAATGCGTCTCTAATAAAGCAATTTTAAGCCTCATGCTGTTTATTACAAAATTCTACACAGTAAATACGGATTTTTGGCATATATTGAAAAATAACACTTATTTCCCTAAATGTAAGGATTAAACTGCATTAATAGCCTTGACCTTGTTATTATTGTTTGTTATATTTATTTATATTTATTGTTATATGTTTATCAAGTTTTAAAGCAACACCATTCAAACAATAATTTTTCTTTTTGAGCAGAAAACGTGTACATGATAAATATTGTCATTTGAAAACAGTGGCGAAACATGGAAATGACAGTATACTGGACTGCGTTCCGTTTTAAATAGAAATTAGTATAGCAAACTAAAAAGGCTTCACAGTATACTGGATCGACGTCACAAGTGGCCACAGTCAGAACTCTGTCACTCTTGCTATCTGTGTGAAATAATTACCTACAATCGCGAAGCGCCCCCGGGATAGAACGCAGTCGGGGTTAGCGCGTTCTAGGCGATTGAATGTTAAAGTTTCTTAACGCTGTTTACGTAAATATATTTTGGTAAATACTTGTTTATATACTTGTTACATATATCAAAACCGCGAACTACGCGGCTACCTCATTTTCCCACACAACATTTCAACATTGCTTCCATGAGGCAGTTTTGCTGACTTGATGGGAAACTCGGTCGCCGTAGACTCACAATAACGCACACGATGTCAACCGACATAGCACCTTTACCAGAAACCTAAAGCAGTGAGGCAATTCTGCTAACCTGATGGGAAATGTAGCTGCCGTGCATTCACAGTGACGCCCGCGGAATCGTCCGACAGCATTATATATACGGAACTCCACGATGCCACTTCACTTCGTTTCTAACATCGGGCGGGGTGTAGGTTTAATTAGATTTAATTAGTATTAGTTCTTTTAATACTACACTTCGTTTCTAATATCGGGCGGGGTGTAGATTTAATTAGTATTAGTTATTTTAATTGTAATATCTTTTAAATTAAAGTTGATAAAAGTAATTTTGGTTTTTTTTTTGGGTCCTCCGGCGGCGAAATGCATAATTGGCGCAGTCGGTAGGATACTCGAGTAGTCTCAAGTGTAGTTTATCAGTGAATTTCTAACATCGAAATCGCTACAACTGCCACGAGTCATCGGGTATCCAAAGAATCTGGAGTCCAGATCGGAGGATAAATCCAGACATCGATCCTAGAGGAACCAGAATGAAACCCATGTAAGTACACTCAAAAATCGTTTCTGTGTGTTGCTTCAATTATTCTAGTGGTAATTTTTATTTCCTAGAGAGCCTGCATCTGCCAGACTAGCTCGTAGGTTCAAATTAGGTAATAAGAGAAACATTAGTGTAGATTTAGATCATTCAATTAACTCCTTGGTAGATTCGAAATGACAGACGTAGACATTATCTTTCAAGCCTTACGCTTAGTACCAGATCTTGAATGGAACTCGAATATATTGCCTAGGTTCATTCATGTGTGATCAAATCGTTTCGGAATGTATAAGTGAAAATACTAGCACAGAACTAGCTAAGCTATATCTAATAAACGGTGTTTTAAATAAAATTTCTGGGTCAACCGCACGTATTATGAATTCGAATGGCATTTCTGAAGATTGGGATAGCATAAAAAATGCCCTCTTCAATCATTATTTAGACCAACGGGACGAGACAGCTCTTTACAATGACCTTATGTTGGCCACGCAAGGGTATACTACGCCCCAGGGATTTTACGACCGGTGTGTTAATTTACTTAGCATCATCATGACGTACGTGACTTTGCACGAGAGCGTTGCTACCACCATCGAAGCCAAACGTAGAAAAGGTTTTTCAAAGACTCCGAGAGTTGAACTTTAAAATCCAGATAGACAAATCGGAGTTCCTTTAACAAAAAAACTGCTTATCTCGGACACGTGTTCAGTAAGGATGATATAAAACCGAATCCTGATAAAATTTCTGCCATATTCACTTCCTAGAAGGCCTAAGGAAATTAAGCAGTCTTGATAGGTTATTACCGAAAATTTATTCCAGACTGCACGTATAACAAAACCTTTAACACAGTGTCTTAAGAAAGGTAGGAAATTTGCAGCAAATTCAGAATATATTTCTTGCCTTAGTGTAAATTCTTGTTAACTAATGATCAAATTTTACAATACCCTGATTTTACGAAAGATTTCTTGCATAGAACGGATGCATCTTATTTAGATGCTATATTGTCGCAAGAACCCATAGGCGCGGAGAAACCAGTGTGCTATGCTTCTCGTACTCTAAACGAGAGCGAGATCAATTACAGCACCACGAAAAAAAATTCCTCGCTATATATATATATATAGACTGGGCAACCAAATATTTTATACCTTATTTATTCGAAGGAAATTCATAATTGTGACAATCTTAAAGAGCCCACTCTCGCGTTTAACTCGTTGAAAACTCAAACTCACTTTTCACTGTAATTTATAAAGGGCAGTTATAATTCTAACGCCGATGCCCTGTCTCGCATCGAAATTCACAATAAGGAGACTAGTTCGATGATTGCAAATCCATCTGAGCACCCACCTTCAGTAGGGAACTCATCTACTACCTCGGCGCACACAAGCCTAGAGAACCCAATTTTAGAAGTCCCAATCGTTTTGGAACCATTAAATAAATATCACAGATAGTTATGTATAACGGTTGTTAGTGATATTAAGAAGCATCTGACGGCCTCTAAGCCATTTGATACTCATACAAGGACGTCTGTACAAGTATCTATGTCAAACTTAGAAGCTCATGTCATAGACGTAATTAAAGAGTTCGTAAATCAAAAAAATTTAAACCGCGTTGCTAATTAATCCTCCTTTGGCTATGTAAGAGCTCTCCCATGAATTTAGTACTGGCTAAGTTCGAAGAAGAGAACGCGAAGGAGTATCTTAGACAACAAGATATATTAAAACATTATCACGAGGGTAAAACTAACCACCGGGGCATAAATGAATGTCATTTATTTTAAGTCGTCGATATTAACGTATTCTTTACCAAAAATTGACAGTGCGAGCGTTTGTACGTGGGTTAAAAGAGTCCTTAGGCTCACGCATTAGATGCATGCGACCCAACAGCGTTGAAAAAGCGCTCGAGTTCGTGCAAGAAGAATTGAATGTAACGTACCTTCAGAACCGCAACGAGTCCGTTTCTAAAAAGAAATCTCAAGACCTACAATTACCTAAACCTATGCCTATGTTACCTAATAACTTACCCGCGCTTAAGCCACTCAATTCTTTTACATAGTCTCCACCAATATGGCAGCCACAACCACAAGGGTGGAAGCCAAATTCCCAGCCAATACCAGTTAGACCAATTAACATGCAATCGCGTACTCTAATTTAGATATTAATAACTGCAGTGTCTGCAGTCAAGAGAAATACGACCGAAACCCCATTAGGCAACAATTTAATTTAGTTCCCCCAGCAACGAAGCCATTCGAAATCATTCATCTAGACCTACTTACAATTCAAGGCGAAAAATATTTAACAATCGTTGATGTATTTTCTAGGTATGCGCAAGCATACCATATTCGCGACGGAACTGCGATCAGCATTTTACAAACTTTACTCAAATTTTTGCACACATCACGGACTTCCTTTAACTATAATTTCGGATAACGGCACGGAATTCACAAACTAATTATTTAACGAATTCACTAAATTACACAAAATACCGGACATTACCACACAGCCCTAACGATAACGAAAGGTTCCACACCACGCTATAGGAACATCTTCTTATTTTAAAATTAAGTTACAAAGCACCTTGGAACTTTACAGCCAACACGCGTAAAAGAGGTCTCATAAATAGTATAGGTACAATTGTTAAGACTATCACCGGAAACTTAGACAACTCAGACGCTACAAGGTATGATAATGCTATCAAAATTCTTCAGGATAATAAACTTACGAGTCAATTTAATACCCATATAAGCCTAAATAACGAGTGGATGACCTGGAATTCTAAAATAATGACTAAATTAATTGCAAACCAAATAAAAATAAATGAAACTTTAAAAACTATTTTAGATTCAAATGCTCACATAGATTCGAGTCTTATAAAATTTGCTAAGTTCGTCCAATATTTAGCTATTGTAACAGAAAACATAGACGATATATAAGGTGAGTGATAGACGGGCGAGCAAGTACGCGTACTTATGGCTCGAAAACCTTTTTCGCTCGTGTGTCACCGTAAGTACGCGTACTTTAAAACCGCCGAGTAAGTTCGTCGGCGATCCAACCTGATCCAACCGGTTTAAAATCTTACTCGTAGCTCGTCTTGGCTCGTACGTGTGGCAGCACTGCGAGCCGCGAGCCGCCATTTTGTTTCGCCAGTCCGTGGACGCGCACGCTTGTTTAAATTGCAATTTTTGTTAATTTTGACTCAGAAATTTCTCAAAATGTGTGATTTTCGAACTTATTCGCATGAACTGCTAACCGAATTTATAGAAGCTTTCCGAAATAACCCTTGTCTTTGGAAAATTAGAAGCAACGACTACAAAGACAAAAATTTGAAGCTTCAAGCATACAATAATTTATTAGAAATTATCCGGAAGGTAGAAAGAGATGCTACGATTGAGAACGTCAAGAAAAAAATTAATTCATTAAGGGCTGGGTTCCGAAAAGAACATAAAAAAGTGCAAGATAGCAAGAAGACAGGTTCAGGAACTGACCAGGTATACGTGCCAAAGTTATGGTATTACAGTCAGCTTGAATTTCTCAAAGATCAGGGCCAAGGTAAGTTTAATTATTTATTAAAGAATTTCTCTATACACTATTATATTATACGTGCGTATTCTTTGTTATGCCTGTGCCTAAATTAGGTAGGTACCTAAAATAGAGTACCTATTATAGCACTTTGTTTTATTACAATAATGACATTGTGATGTTGAACATTAAAACCAAAAGTAAATTTAGAGGGTTTTTATTTAATTACAGGTGAACAATCAACTGACAATATAGACAGCAGCGAACAGGAGACAGCTAATGATAATGAAAATACATTTGATGCTGAACATAGTGAAAATGATACCCAGGTAAAAATACTATTATTATATCATTCTTTGTTGCCATGACACTGCACCACTAGTATTAAAGTAGGTTTCATACTTTTCTCTGATAATTTTTGCATTTTGAGTGGGGTTACGACTATGTGTTTGTTGTAGTGACTGTAATTCTCCATTTTGTGGTCTCAGCCCCAATTCAATAGTTCTATTTTCGTGATTTTCACTATCTAAGTGCTGATGTGGACTGTAAGCTTGTCTTAATTTTTTCCTTAAAAAATTGTGCAATACACAACATGCCAAAACTATTTTGTTAATATTGTGCACACTGGTATTTATAGGCGATCGAAAAATATGGAATCTTGCCGCCAGAATTCCAAAAACATTTTCTATAATTCTTCTAGCCCTGCATACTCTATAATTGTGTATCCTCTTACTTGAGCTAGCCTGTGATTGCCTTTGTGGGTATGGTTTCATAAAATCTGTCCTCAAAGCAAAAGCCACGTCGCCAATAAATACATAAGGCAATTCTTCTGAATGACCGCTTGGTTTTCTGGGGCTAGGAAGATTTAAGCGCTTGGAGTTCAATCTTTGAAAGAATGTAGTTTTTTGTAATACACCTCCATCAGAAATACTTCCATTTGTTCCAATATCTACATAAATAAATTCATAATTTGCATTTGCAATTCCCATAAGTACAATACTGTGATACCCTTTATAATTAAAAAATGTGAGCCGGCTCCGGCAGGAGGGACTATAGCTACATGTTTCCCATCGACGGCTCCTAAACAATTTGGAAATTGCCATGTACGCTCAAACTCTTCAGCAATTGCTAGCCATTCTTCTTCTGAACTCGGGAACTGTAACAAAAAAAACCATAATTCAGTATAAATGATATCATTTTTATTTACAGAGTACCATTTGCGACGTGTCATCACCTGTGACACCTGCAACATCTGTTGCTTCATCTGCACGTCGTAAGCGACACGGCAATGCCGCCATTGAAGACACAATATCGTTAATAGGTAAAAGATTACAAAACCCAGATGATGAATATGATGCTATAGGAAAAAATGTCGCAATTAAACTCCGCAACATGACTGCTATTCAACAAGGCATAGCTGAAAAGCTCATCAATGAAGTTATTTTTTTTGGGACGGTTTGAAAAATTAACATTCAATACAAGTATACATAATCCAGTTCCAGTCCAGGTACCCCAAAGACCATTGATACACATGCCAGCTGTTCCAGTCCAGCTGCAAGAAACACAAGCATTTAACTTGACACAAGACTCGCAAACTATTAGTATCCCGGACACCCTGGTTGAATATTTAAACTTTAATAATAATAACTAAAAATAAATAAAATAGTACGTTACATTTGTATATGTTCAAAAGTAAATTTATTTGTTAAGCATTAATGTTAATGTGCCATTGCAAAATAAAGTCTGATTATTTGTACTGAGTTATTTTGTTTATAAAGTATTTAATAAATGATACATACCTTCAAATATGTTTTCAGTGCAGAGTAGATTGCGTCACATGTCTCAGGAATTATGTACCCCAATGACTGTCTTGATATCGCTGACGAATACATTACATCTTTATATGTTCCACCAGTTATCAAAAATCGTAATGTTGCACTTAAACGTTCATGCGGTGAAATAGCTTCTCTCATGCAAGTATCCTGTTTAGCTATAATTGGTGTGACTAAACAAAAAAAGTTCTTCATACACAGGCTCAGGCATTCTGAAATAATTCTGGAAATCTTCCTTCTCTTCACTTAACTCTCTTACTAAATTCACATGTGATAAACGCTCTCTTTTTGTAAGCCAGTTCTTAACCCACACTTTTCGCCTTCGTCTATTGTTTTTAGTTTTTGAAATGTAATACGATATAATTCCTAAATAACACAAAGCTTCTTCAGTGGACGACATCGCGATACGGTATGAGTAAGTTGGCGCGTGTGTCGCCGACGTCGAGCCAAGTAAGTTCGCGATCTTAAAAACCGCCTACTTTAAGTTCGTACGTCTATCACCCACTTAAGACGAGCTGACTCGGCTTTCATTTGTTCCTCAAGTACTCACCACCCAACGTTAAGTGTCAGGGTACTTAGTAGCATGATTCATAAATTAGTCCCTATATACAGTAAAGAACTTATAAAACCTTGCTATTATTATTCGGGAAATAAAATAATAATTGTATATTCACCCTAGATACTTACTACTTATATAAATTATATGTAGCTCCTAATAAATATCGGCAGGCTCTCATCCCTCCTTATCCATTGATAGCAACAAACAGGAAAGGTTATGTGTACATAGAGGCTGAATGCCCAAAGTACAATCACTGGTATCTCTGTAGTGCGAATATGGACCATCAGCTTCGACAGCATCCAGATTGTACCCAAGAACTCATCATTAATCAATCCCTTAGCAAGACCTGCCAGACGACCACCGTCACCCTGTCCAGAACAGCTTTAGAGGAACTTGATGAGAAACATTACGTCTTGTCATTCCCCATCGCCACGAAGATAAATGGTACTTACCTGGTTACCCTCCCAATGAAAATATTTCTGTATACTACGGATTTTACCATCACTAACATCAACGATCGAGTTAAAGGGCAGCCTTTGAAGATCACGAAGCTTACCTATAACCCAGCTACTCATCTGAATAACTCGTCTCACATACATCTCAAATCTATTGACTTAAAGAGATTACATGAATTTCAACATAATCTGGTGTCACAACCGATTTTACAAGTTGACCAAATTTCGTCGAAATACCTATACCATACAACCATCCCACTTTACACTATAATGATATTAAGTATACTGGTACTTACAAGCCTTCTTACTTTAAAACGTTACGGACTATTGCAGTGCACTAGAAAAGCATCGCAACTTTATCAGCAATATTTCATCATCTCAAGACTCAGAAATAAATGCTGTTCTCAGGGGGGAGGTGTTACATATATCAAAACCGTGAACTACGCGGCTACCTCATTTTCCCACACAACATTTCAACATTGCTTCCACGAGGCAGTTTTGCTAACTTGATAGGAAACTCGGTCGCCGTGGACTCACAATGACGCACACGATGTCAACCAACATAGCACCTTTACCAGAAACCTAATGCAGCGAGGCAATTCTGCTTACATGATGGGAAATGTAGCTGCCGTGGATTCACAGTGATGCCCGCGGCGTCATCCAACAGCATTATATATACGGAACTCCACGATGCCACTTCACTTCGTTTCTAACATCGGGCGGGTTGTAGGTTTAATTAGATTTAATTAATATTAGTTCTTTTAATACTACACTTCGTTTCTAACATCGAGCGGGGTGTAGATTTAATTAGTATTAGTTATTTTAATTGTAATATCTTTTAAATTAAAGTTGATAAAAGTAATTTTGGTTTTTTTTGGGTCCTCCGGCGGTGACATCCATAATTTACTCGTCGAAATAGTTTTGTAGAATAAAATTGTTGAAAATGTTTTAATGAAATTGAAGAATAATATATATGTATATTACCTATCTATTTGATAAATTATAATGGCAAAACATCGTCATCGACATCGACACTAGAGTACATTTAGAGTACACAAATATTTCTTCGATAAACAAGCTTAAAGATTATAACAGTAATTAAAAAACCGAACTGCGTAACAAAGTATACTGAAAAGAGATTTTATACCCTGCGTCACTCCCACATAATAAATATACATACATACTCTCGATAAACATTATCCTAGGGCAGTCCGGTAAAACACCGAATTATCAAAAATGAAACGTCAGGTTTAAATTCACGTATATTTTTAACAAATACCTACTATTATTAACACCAATGAAATAAAACTAATACAATCAACAATCATAATCACATAACCGCTAGAGCACAAAATATTGCTGAAATGTTGCTTGAATGTTACGCGCTACATTGTACCAATGTTATAGCAATATTACAACCGTAGACAGAGAATCCAAAAGACAGCGTGATATGTTTTGTTTCATTCACAAAACAAAGGACGCATATATCGTATTAGCACTTTTATGAAAGATAAATAGCTACTATATTGTTGTCCTTATTCCCGTACGACCTAAGAATCAGTTTGGAATTAAATTTACACTACAACTATCACGTAGGGAGTCAATGTTTATTAGAGTACATTTAGAGTGCATTAATATTTCTTCGATAAACAAATTTAAAGTTAACAACAGTAAATAAAAGAAGCCAACTGCGTGAAAAAGTATACTGTAAAGAGAAAAATTGTATACCCTGCGTCACTCCCACATTTAACATGAATCTAACGACACCTCTTAAGTTAAAATTCTTCAAACCGTTTAGGCTACAGAGCGTGCCAAAGAAATAGACATACAAACATACTCTCGAAAAACATTACCCTAGGGCAGTTCGGTACAATACCGAATTATCAAAAATGAAACGTCAGATTTCAAATAGTGTATATTTAAAAAAAATACTATTATTACTTAAGTTGTATTCAATTGAGGTGGATAACATAAGAAAATGTTATGAGACTGACGTAGAATGCCTTAAATCCGAAATATTATCTTTTACAAATTCCCTTCAGATTTTTTTTCTAGGGTTTTATACGTGGTAGAGCCATGCTGTAGCTATATTAGTAGTATAGTTGTAGCACGAATGGGTCGGCTCGTCCGGGGAAGGACCACGCTCTCACAGAATACCAGCGTAAAATAGCAACTTAACAATGCTGTATTTCGTATGGTGAGTGTGGAGAACCGGAGACCCTTTTTACTGGATAAGAGGCATTCCATCTTAGTCCTCACTAGTGACAACGCATCTTGAGTCTTTATTGAGGATAGATGTAGATGTCTATGGGCCACAGCAACCATTTACCATAAGGTGGACCTTGTGCTCGTTTGTCACTCGATCCTATAAAAAAAAAACTGTATCCAATAAATATAAATCAGCCCAAAACGATATAAAAGAACACATAATGGCTATGAATAATTTGGTAAAGACATGTAAATATAATGTTCCTTAGTTAAACATCAATGTGAGTGTCAGCGTTCAATACCAGCTTCTTCGGAGTCGGTGTGTGCTGATAATATTATACCATCACCAAAACTCTATGACAGTGCCATAGCAGAGGAGCTTAAAATAAAAAATAACTCAAATATTAACAAAAATAATATAATTGTGTATAGCGATGACATAGGAAAAAATCTAGGCATAACTTTAAATTACCCTTTAAAGGGACAAAAAATTACATATTCCTGCATGCCTGGAGCATCTTTTAGTTTTTTTTTTATAGGATCGGGTTACAAACGAGCACACAGTCCACCTGATGGTAAGTGGTTACTGTGACCCACAGACATCTACATCTATCCTCAATAAAGATGCAGATGCGTTGTCACCCGTGAGGACTAAGATGGAATGCCTCTTTGCCAGTAAAAAGGGTCTCCGGTTCTCTACACTCACCATACGAAACACGCGTTAAGCTGCTATTTTACGCTGGTTTTCTGTGAGAGCGTGGTCCTTCCCCGGTCGAGCCGACCCATTCGTGCTACAACCATAACATAGCTGCAGCATGGCCCTAACACGTAGAACGTATGTAGTGACATCCCAAATAAAATTATTGTTACGGCCCGCAGCTGCCCCTGCAAATGTAGCCTTGGCTGGGGCCCATAGAAGCCTGCTCGACGGGCAGACGCGGGTCGGGCCCAAATGGCCATATGGAGGAATATCCTATCATACTAAAAGAAAAATAAATAGTACGTACCTGGGTTGAGGCAAAGACCGTCCCGAAGGTTCGGTCAGGCCGAAGATGTGTAGGTGAATGTGTAGTGGTGTTTTAGTGGTGTGGATTGTGGTTGACCTGACTGGACCGTTGAATTCGGCAGCAACTCCGACCCCAGCACCGCTCCAAATTGTGGTAATCTCCAGCGGCGTCACCCACGGTGAATTTCTTTCTTCATGTCACTATTGCAGTCTATCAACTTTATTGTACATTTAACTAACTTCAAAACGCAACTAAATCCCGCAAAAACGTAACACACACCACGAATACCGAATGTTCGGATCAAAGGTCACTTCCGTTTCGCGTGGCAACAATTTATTTCTAGAACCTAACACGACCTTCTCTAGTGTCACAAAGTTCAGCGTTCAACCGACAACGGAAAATGTCTCCGAACTATATCAAATGCCACACGAGCAAACTAATATTGTCAAATGCACTTATATACGCTATCAAATTAGAATAACCAAATTCGCGGTAAATTAGGCGCGCACAACACACAAATTCAGACGTTGATCGCAATCAATGTTAACTTCCTAACAATTTGTCAAACCGGCGTCAATCTATTTCTATAAAATCGACGAGGAATTGTAGTCAATTCTAGACTACAATTCCTCGTCGTTGCACAATTTGCTAACAAAACCGACTCTAAAAAATGGAGGTTATCCCAGGCGACCTCACGACGTGCTTTCGACAGCACTGCATTCAAGCAACTCCCTTGCACTCACGTTCTGTGCTTGCGCCCTCTGCCAAAGCCACTCCGCTCGCCCGAACGTCAAAACCGGTATGGTACCGAGCCGAGCTTCCTCTGGCGTCAAATCTTGAAACCAGCGTTTGGGCGCGAACAATTATAGTTACTAAATTTTGCCCAAATAGTACAATAATAATTTTTGTTGG